GCAGGTAAGGTGATCTGGAATTCCCATCTCTTGAAAAATCTTCCACAGTTTGTTGTGATCCACTCAGTCAAAGGCTTTAGCGTAGTCAATGAAGCAGATGTTCTTTTGGAATATCTTGCTTTTTCTATGATCCAAAGGATGCTGGCAATTTGATCTCTGGTTCCTCTGCCATTTCTAAATCTAGCTTGAACATCTGGAAGTTCTTGGTCATGTACTGTTGAAGCCTAGCTTGGAGAATTTTGAGCACAACTTTGCTAGCACGTGAAATGAGTGCAACTGTGTGGTAGCTTGAATATTCTTTGGCACTGCCCTTCTTTGGGACTGGAATGAAAACTGACATTTTCCAGTCCTGTGGCCACCACAGAGTTTTCCAAATTTGCCGGTATATTAAGTCTAACACTTTAACAGCATCATCTTTTAGGATTTGAAAATAGCTCGGCTGGAATTCCATCACCTCCACTAGCTTTGTTCGTAGTGATGCTTCCTAAGGCCCATGTGACTTCGAACTCCAAGTATTCTGGCTCTAGGTGAGTGATCACGTCATTGTGATTATCTGGGTCATTAACATCTTTTTTGTACAGTTCTTCTGTGTATTCTTGCCACCTTTTCTTAGTATCTTCTGCTTCTGTTAGGTCCATACTGTTCCTACCCTTTATTGTGCCCATCTTTGCATGAATTGTCCCCTTAGAATCTATAGTTTCCTTGAAGAGATCTCTAGTCTTTCTCATTCTAGTGTCTTCCTCTATTTCTTTGTATTGTTTATGGAGGAAGGCTTTCTTACCTCTCATGTTTTATTCTTTTCTTCTGCCCTTCCTCCTTCCTGCTACATGGAACTGACAGGAGAGTCACCAGTTCCTCAGAACCACATACACTCCAGCCCCTTTCAGGCCCACAGGTGTTACAAAGCTGACCTTCCCCAAGAAAATACCAGTGGCAGCTGCTGTTACTAAAACTCCCTGGAGATCCAGAGCACAGCCTGGAGAGAGGTGTTCTTCTGAAGTGTCCCACCCTTCTCCCCAGTCAGTTTGAAAAAAAAGGATGACCCAAAAGGCCTCTACAGAATCAATGACACCCCAGAAGTGTCTCATGGTTCTCCCTGAGTCCTGGGAAAGTAGAACATGGGCAAATTCACTTCACTTCTTTCAGTTTCCACTTTACCTCTTATACAGTGCTTCCCTCATAGCTCAGTTGGTAAAGAATCCACCTGCAATGCAAGAGACCCTGGTTCAATTCCTGGGTTGGTAAGATCCCCTGGAGAAGGGATAGGCTACCCACTCCAGTATTCTTGGGCTTCCCTTGTGTCTCAGCTGGTAAAGAATCCGCTTGCAATGTGGGAGACCTGGGTTCGATCCCTGGGTTGGAAAGACCCTCTGGAGAAGGAAAGGCTACCCACTCCAGTATTCTGGCCTAGAGAATTCCATGGACTGAATAGTCCATGGGGTCGCAAAGAATTAGACATGACTGAGCAACTTTCACTTTTCACTTTCACAGTGGAAATCATTAACCTACCTGCCCTACTCTGCAGGGTATTATGTCCAAATGAAATGGTGGATGCAAAAGCATCTTAGTTTGCAAAGAAATAAAAAGATATAGGTGGCTAATGACACTCAAAGCCACAGTCAAGACAGGGCAGAGGGAGAGACTTGCAGGAACCTATCTTGAAGATATTCTTATAAAAGGATACAAAGAGATGTGACCAGTGAGGTTCACTGCACCACTACCTGTAACATTTAAGTTATATAAAATAAAATATGGTACAGCAATATAATCAAATTCAGTGTATTTAATAAAAAGATGAGATAACTGATAAAACAAGAAATGAAAACTATATTAACTGGCGTAACAGTAGACTTAACTGCCAGAACTAAAACCAGAAGTGGTTAAAAGGAGTTACCTCAACTTCCAGTTAAATGAGATGGTAGTGGGAAGAAAGAGTAGAGGAGACCACAGTGGATAAAAGATGCCAACACATTCGGGAGACGAAAGGCAAGTAGAGGAGTCTCTAGATGAAAGCAAACAAGATACTTCCTGCCAACAAGGAAGGAGACACCTGTGAGAAAAGTTCTAACCCCAGAAACCTGGGAAAGGGTAAAACTTTGGTGGTTCCTGATCAAAGCGATTAGGTCCCTGTTAGTGATGCCCACAGAGAAGGCCATCAGCTGACCAACTCTGTCTAGGCACAAAGCATGTAATCTGCCTTTCTGTGCTTCATATTTAAATATAAAATAGATTACAAAGGCCTAACAGATAACCAATGATGCTTCTGACGCTAAAGGAAGAGATGGAATAAATAAACTGAAGAAACTTGAGGGGAAAATAGAGACAATGCAAGAAGAAAAAGAAAACTTAAAAGATAAATACCAAAAACCCCCCATCAATTTGTATCTCAGAGAAATTAAAGATACCCTATGTAAAAAGAATAGGATGCTATTAAAACAAGGACGGTTAGAGAATATAAAAAAGTTCTTGGAAACTCAAAATACAAGATCTGAAATAAAATTCAAGACCAGAGCCAGAAGACAAAGTTCAGGAACTGTCTTTGAAGGAAGAATAAAAAAAAACAGAGGAGAAAAAAAAAAACACAAGAAAATTAGAGAACCAGTCGAGGAGTCCAACATCTAATAGCAGGGGCTCTGGAAAGAGAGAAGAGAGAATGGAGGAAAGGAAATTATCATAGAAACACTTCAAGCAAACATCTCGGAACTGAAAGCAACAGAGCACTGAAGATAATGGAAAGATCCTAAACGTTTTGAGAGAGCACATACTAGCCATGTTCAAAGAACTAAAAATCAGAAGGAAACAGACTTCTCGGCAGCAAATCTGGAAGCTAGAAAACTACAAGCAATGCTTTCAAAATTCTGGGAGAAAATAACTTCCAATTTGGAGTTCCATGCTGAGTCAAACCATTAATCTCTATGAGGAGAGTATATGAGAGTACAATAAAATTTTTCAAACACGTAAGAACCTACAAAAATCTACCTCCTGTGAATGCTTTCTTAGGGGGTTTGTAGTGTTAAGACTTCACCACAACAAAGGAGTAAATCAAGAGAAAGATATGGGATCCAAAAGTAAGCAAAGCAGGTCCAATCAACTAATCCAGGTTAGAGCAGGTAGTGACAGAGATGGATGGACGCAAGACAGATGTTTCAAAAAAAAAAAGGGGGGGGGGGACGGGTTTGCCCATGTGAAAAACAGAAGAAACTAGGTAGCTTTTACAAAACTGTTAAGAGTTTGAAGAATGAGTACACAACAACCAAACAAATGAAAGCAATTAGCCAACTGGTCAATATCAGACCTGTATCTGTATATTACATTTGTCTCCAATAAACAATAATTAGAAATGAACACTGAATATTGAATTTACTAAGAACTGAGATGTATTTACAGTGGGAGAATGCAGGAAGGGAAACTGGAGGCATGGAGCTATATAAGGACATTAATTTAAATTCTCATCTTCAGTAACATGATGTCAATAAAAGATGTACAAATAAAATCAGTAAACGGCAACATAAACCAACATTTAGAAATGGAGATCAATATCCAAAGAAAAAATTAACAAGTTTGGGAAGGATGGAACAGGAGTTTACTTTTATGTTTAAATGTATTAATAGTACTCTTGACTTTTTAAAACTATGCTCATAAATTACTTTATCCTGTAATAATAAATAATTAAAAAACAATCCCCCCAAACAAAACTGGTTACTTCTGGAGAGAAAGACTAAATGAGATACCTGAGTGAGGAAAACTTTTTCTCTCCTCCTTGTTCACTTCTGTATCACTTGAATTAAAAAATCATAGCTTTTACAATTTAGGGGAAAAAACATTTGACAGTTCTATGGTTAGTCACAGAATAGACAAAGGCAATAAACACTGGGGCAGAAAGACATAAATAGGAAATTCCAAAAAGAGACTACGATTTAGGGATTTAACGTGTTTAATCACATGGTCTAGGACATTTCTGTTGTATATATAAATATAAAAAAATTATAAAAATAAGCCTACAGAAATTTAGCTTCAAGTTCCAGTAAATGATTCAATAAGTTACTTGGTGACAGGCTAAATTTGGGAAGTGCAAAAAGTAGTCTAGGACAATTCCAGGTATATATGTGATCATCCTTGGAAGGAAAGTTTATTATTACTATTTCACCCAGATGACAAACAGTGGTGGCAGCCACTTTCTTTTTTCCTTTCTAGTAACTGCAAGTGGTTAAGAAAATGCTTATTTTTATTACTGCTGTCATATCCCTTGAAGGTTTCTGATCAAATTATCTCTTCAACAGACTCAGACTTTGTCTTAAAAGATGAAAGTCATTCATTATGTATTTGGCATTACAGTATTTCAGAACAAAAGCTGAATCCCAATAAATCCCATTTACTTTTTTAAAAAATTTAAATTTATTTTTAATTGGAGGTTAACTACAATATTCTATTGGTTTCTGCCATGTATCAACATCAATCAGCCATAGGTATACATGTATTCCCTCTTGAACCTCCCTCCCAGCTCCCAGAGGGGGGAAGAAAACGGTGGTGCGAACTAAGAGAGCAGCACTGAAACATTTACATTACCATATGTAAAATTAGACAGCCAGTGGGAATTTGCTGTATGATGCAGGGGGCTCAAATCTGGCGCTCTGTGACAACACAGTTACTTTTAAAATGGCTGTTTCCCCAAAACCTTGGAAACTGAGCTTTGCTAGAGCATGACTTTTACCTTTCCTAGATGGAAAGCATACTTTGAAGCAGCTCCTGAAAATGAAGACTTCGCTAAGGACTTCACTGGTCACTCACCTGATGTGACAGTACAACTAACAACATAATTAAAGAGCTGTTGAAACTCATAGATGACTGATGTTTCCATTCTGCCCTGCTCTTCCTCAAAGTCAACCCGATTTTATAGGCGTTTCAGCATCTCACTGGACACAAAATAAAGTGAGGTTGGCAGGGCGAGGCGGCAACGCTCAGAAAGTGGTACCACTTTCAAAGCTGAAGCAACGCTTTACCTTTACCTTTACACGTCTCCGTTTTCTTCCCTTTTCTTCCCCTGGAATCTGCTTCTCTCCTTTCTTTCTCTTTTTCCGCTTTCTCTCTTTGTGTTTGTCATGATCGCTTTTGTCTTCAAAGAGGCTGGAGTCGTGCCCAGAGCTGCCCGTGGAGAGCTCGGTAACCTCGTTCCCTCCCACTTTGAGGACCAGCTTCAGGGGCTTCTCTACATACTCTTAAACGAAAGGAAAGGGTCTCGATTAATGGAGTATCCACAGCGGTATCCACAACGGGCAGTATCCACAACGCAGAGTAAAACTGGGTAGGGATAGTCAGTCTGAGGCGGCCAATGGCACGCAGTGGGCGCCCCTCGGCGCACCTGTTGAATGACGGACACTCGCCAAGTGGACGCCCCGAACGCTCCCGGGCCTCTCGGGACCGCCTCAAACCTCCCAACCGGAGTCCCGCCCCAGCCGGACGTCCCGGGTTCGAACGCCGCCCCCGCCTGGGGGGTCTGGCGCGTCTCAGGCGGGCCGCGCCCCCTTCGCGGGTCCAGGCCTGCCCGCCGGAGGTGCGACCCCCGGCCCGCCTCGGAAGCTGGAGAGTTGTCTCGAAGGCACGAAAACTCCACCGAGCGGCCGTGGGCTCGCCGCCCCCCACCGTGGCCCACTCCTCACCCTCGTAGAGGTGTTTGTCCGACTTGTGCTTTTTGTGCTTCTTGCCCATGTCCGATCGGGCCCCGGTGCCCGCCCCCCGCGCCAGGCCCAGGCCGTGCGGCGCCGCTTCCGGTCCGGGCCAGGCGAGCGGAGGGCGGGAGCGGGGCCCGCGAGACCCCGCGCCGCGCGGCAGGGGGACGGCGTGCGCCGAGCGGCGCGAGGTCCCTCACGAATAGACTCAGCCGCGCCCGAGCGCGCGAGACCCAGCCGGAGCCGGAGAGCGGCGGCAGGTTGGCGAGTGGCCGGCGCGGAAGCGGGAGAGAGGGCCTGCCGCGCGCGCAGAGAGTGGTCAGCTGGGCGTGGCGGCCCCTGGCGGCTGGAGGTGGCACGGCAGCCTGAGGCCTGGGGGCGGAGTCGGCTCGGGGGCGGAGTCCGGCTCGTGGGTGGGGCCAGGGCGGGGTCCACCGCTCTGAAATTCCCGTTTTTCTGTCTGCCTCTCTTTCTTTCCTGCCTTGATTCCTACCCTCTCTCCCTCCTTCTTGCCCCTTCTTCCTTTCATCCTTTTTCTTATCTTTTTATCACCTTACTTCCTTTCTGACTCCTCCCTTCTCTCCCGCTTTCCCTAGCGTCTATCTTCATTTTAACATTTGTTGAATCCTGTGCTGGACGCCAGAACCAGGAAACCCAGAACATTGGTAGCGGAAGGATTCTAATCTCTAAAACAGAACAAAACAAACTTATATAATGATATGTAAAGACCTTCAAGACCTTAATTAAAACAATACCAACAAAGTATGGAGCAGAGTGTATTCAGTAAGATGCATTTATGGAAATAAACGTTGGCATCTGAATAAAAAGGCTGTGATGGATACACAAGAACCGTTAATAGTGGTTATCTCAGAAGACTAGGACTGAGACTGGAGTTGATTGGTTTAGTTTTATGCTTCTCTGTATTTTTTGGAAATTTTCTCACTTGCATATTTATTATTTTTTGAAATGAAAAGAAAGAAAATTTAGAAATTAGATTGAAAAAATGATGAAAATAATCTGGATCCCCACGAAGCAGAGGTCCAGACTAACACTATTGCTCTGTTGATGGAGGTCCATTCCTCTTTCCTGCTTTAAACCCTGCTTCTCCTTGACTTTATCCTTAGATGCTGAACCCTACTGGTGAGATGAGTTATTCAGTTTTGTTCATTGGCACTTACCTGAATAAAATGTTAAGATGTGTTCAAGAGACCACATCCAGGGATGATGGCTGCAGAGAGACAAAATAATGTTGATATTTTTTGACATGACAACCTTGTAAGGTAGAAAGGGAGAAATATATTCCCGTTTTACAGATGAAGAAATGGATGCCCAGAGAAATGAAGTAAGTTGCCACTTACTGGTAGAGCCGGATTTCAAATCCAGGTTTTCTGGATCTGAATCATAACCTCTTTTTACTCGTGAATATGATGAAGGGGGTCTTGACTGTCTCTACGTTTAGGCTTACAGTGCACTGTGTGTTTCCAGATAAATCTATACTCACAAGAAAGGAACTGACATCAGTCATGTATACTTAAGAGTTTGGACCTCTGGATCACTTCTCCCAGGAAGATGTGTAGCTTTCACTTGAAGTTCAGTGGTTAAGTGGTAGACTTGTAATTTAGGGTCCTGTGGTCAGAGAATGATAGAAACCCAGTTTGAATTATTTCAGGTGAATAAAAAGATTAGTGGATCACATGTCCAGGAAGGGAGGAGTAAAGCTTTCCCGAAGAAGGATAGGAGCCAGGGATTTGATGCTTTCTTTCTTTGTCTCATCCTTCTGTGTTGGGCTTGATTTTCTTTTCTTACATGACTGAAAACATGGCTTCCAGCAGCTGTATCCTGACCGATTGGGAAAAGGGTCTCTTCCTTGTCAGCCTCATCCAGGAAAAAATTCCAGGGAAGGTCTCTGATTGGCTTGGCTTGGGTCACATGTTTTATAGGCAAAGGGTTGGGAGATTGATCCAGCTTGGATACCAAGTCCATCCCTATGGCCAAGAGGAGTTAGAGTCTGTGACTGACAGTCCCCATTAGAGTCCAGTGGTTACCCAAGGAAGCTGAAGTTCCTTTAGAGGAGCTGAACTGATTTTTTTTACAAAGGATAGAAGTTTGTATCTGTTCCCTCCTTGTAACAATCTGCTCTGGCCTCTCTGAGGCGGAGTTCAGAGTGGAGGAAAGGGGTCATGTTGGAGAAGGGAACCTCTGCTGCTCTGAAATCAAGCCACCAATGCCCCCTAGTGTAGAGCAAAGCTTCAGTTCAGTTCAGTTTAGTCAGCCAGTCATTTTCGACTCTTGGCAACCCCGTGGACTGCAGCATGCTTCCCTGACCATCACCAACACCTGGATCCTGCTCAAGCTCATGTCCATTGAGTTGGTGATGTCATCCAACCATCTCATTCTCTGTTGTCCCCTTCTCTTCCTGCCTTCAATTTTTCCCAGCATCAGGGTCTTTGCAAATGAGTCATTTCTTCGCATCAGGTGGCCAAAGTATTGGAGCTTCAGCTTCAGCATCAGTCCTTCTAATGAATATTCAGGACTGATTTCCTTTAGGATTGCCTGGTTGGATCTCCTTGCAGTCCAAGGGACTCTCAAGAGTCTTCTCCAACACCACAGTTCAAAAGCATCAATTCTTATGATCCAACTCTCACATCCATACATGACTACTGAAAAAACCATAGCTTTGACTAGATAAACCTTTGTCAGCAAAGTAATGTCTCTGCTTTTTAATATGTTGTCTAGATTTGTTATAGCTTTTCTTCCGAGGAGCAAACATCTTTAATTTCATGGCTGCAGTCACCATCTGCAGTGATTTTGGAGCCCAAGAAAATAAAGTCTGTCACTGTTTCCATTGTTTCCCCATTTATTTGCCATGAAGTGATGGGACTGGATGCAAAGCTTTGGTGCAGCTTTTCAGCCTTTTCAAAGCTATAACTCTTTTTTTTTTTTTTTAAGGAGAACTGCTATGCCAACTGCACCTATGGATCTGGCCTCTGCTGTGGAGTGGATCTGGCCTCCCTCCAGGCTGAACCTGTGAGCTTACCTGCCTTCTCCTCATCACCCGGTGTGCTCCCCCCGGCAAGGTTTGAACCAGGGGAGCACAGCACCTTTGTGTCCACAGTACCCAACACAGTGACCACTGCTCTGCAAACGCACCTCAGAACCAGCTCACCCTTTGTGCACGTGTCTTCCCTCTGAGCACCCTTTGATGGAGGGAAAAGGTCTTGTTACCTCGTCTTCATTAGGGAGTTTGTAATTTCCTTCCTTCCCTCAACAAAGATCTTACCTAGGTCCCAAAGTCCTCACAGCAGGGAAAAATGGGTGAGAACTCAAAGCAGAAAATACCTTGAAGAGAAAAATTCCTGGGAGATAGAAACCCCAGCTCATCTACTTTTTTATTCCCAGCTCAAGGACAGTACCTGGCACATAAAAGTCACCAGAAAATTCTAGTTGAACGAAACCATTTTACAGTCTGCCTGAGCTAAAGACTCCTGTCTCCTGGTTGTCACATCCTTCAACTGAGTGAGGACTGGCCCAGAGACTTATTTCTGACTGTAGAATGTGGCCAAAGTGATGTCATGTCACTTCTGTGATCCAGTCCCAGAAGGTCAGGTCTTTCATCTTATTAGCCAACTCTCTTGTCTTCTTGGCTTGCATGCTTTGGTGAAGCAAGCTGCACAGTTGAAGAGGCTCATATGCAAGGAATGAAGGGAAACCTCTAACCAACACCCAACAAGCACTGAGGCCATCAGTCCTGCAGCCCAAGAGACATCAGTCCTGCCAACAACTCGCTGAGCTTCAAAGTGAATTCTTCCTCAGCAGAACATTCAAATGAGACCTCAGCCCTGCCTCACTCCCTAACTCAGCCTTGGAGAGACTCCAAAGCAGAAGACCCAGGGAAGCTGTGCTCAGACTCCTGACCCACAGAAACTGTGAGATAATTAACGTATGGTTACATGAACCACGAAGTTTTAGAGCAGCTTGTTGTATAGCAATAAAAAGCTCATACAAATATTATCCCAAACAGGGAAACTTTCTGAGCCTCCTACATGTCTCAATCAGAAGGACCAAAATGACAGAAATTGAGCAATTGCCTGGGAATAGGACTTGGCTGGAGTGTTGCCTATGCTGCCCATCCCCTTTTATCCTCTTCTAGCCAGGTGAGAGGAGCACTGTATTTAATTTTATTGAGACATGTCTTTATTTTTGATATTGAATTCTTTTTTTGGCAGTGCCATGGGACATGTGGAATCTTAGTTCCTTAATCAGGGATTGAACCTGCACCCCCAGCTTTAGAGGCCTGGAGTCCTAACCACTGGACTGCCAGGGAAGTCCCAAGAGAAACATTCTTATCCCTGTCCCACAGGTGAGGAAACTGATGCATGGAGAAGTCAAGTGATTTATCTATGATTACACAGCTTGCCTGTCTGGGATCTGAATCCTTGTCTGCCTACCTCCAAACCCCACATTCTAACCATTAGGTCACAATGCTCTTCAAAAAGGGGCTCAGATAATTTCCGAAGTCCCTTTCTTCATGTTTGGAATACCGTTAGATAAAAGCAAATTCCCAAAGAGGACCCATGTGCTCACATAAACGTGTAGAAATGGATGTTTGTGCCTTGAAGAGGATCAGAAAGTGAGTCATTTATTTATTTATTGTTTGGCCATGATGGGTCTTCACTGCTGGATGCAGGCTTTCTATGGTTGCTGTGAGCGGGGGCTACACTCTAGTTGTGGTCCTCACGGGGGGGCTTCTCACTGCATTGGCTTCTCTTGTTACAGAGCACAGGCTCTAGGCTCATGGGCTTCAGTAGTTGCAGCTTGCAGGTGCTAGACTTCCAGCTCTAGTTGTGGTGCACAGGATTAGTTGTCCAGCAGCATGTGAGATCCTCCCAGGCCAGGGATCAAACCTGTGTCCCTTGTATTGACAGGTGGATTCCTAAACCACTGGACCACCAGGGAAGCCCCAGAAGGTAAGTTAAAGAAAGGAAATAGTTTTACTGTTTATGGAGCCAGGGGAACTGGACCTCGCTGCTCAACTTGATGGCCTAGCTCTCTCTTGGCCAAATGTTGGGATTTGTGTAGCATCATGGTTCTGACCTAAGGGGAGGCTTCTTGGCAGTAGCCAGTTGCCCCTCATAAGGACAGGGAGCTTCTCTCTTGTGCATCCTTGTTGGTAGCAGAGGAGGCGGATGATCTTAGGAGAGGACAAGGCTGGCTCTGTGCCTTGCTTAGTCCCACCCAGTACCTTCCTCCGTCTGTGGGCCTCTGTCACCTCCCTTGCAGCCTGCTTTTCTGTAGCTCCATCAAGGAGGCAGGATGGCTGCTCTTTCCATGGTGGATCTGCCTGATACATTTCACCAGATCCCGAGAGCACACAGCCCTTTATGCTTTGGGCGTAAATCATGGCTGTGACACTTGTTGAGCATTGGCTTTGCATCCGTCACCCATCCAGATCCTTCCTCTGTGTCTCCCCTGCAACACCCAGAGGAGGATATAGTGTGTGTGTCTCACAGGAGCAGCATCAGAACCAGACAGGAGTGACCTGTGTCCCATAGCTATTGGGTGCGAGTCGGGGTGAAAAACACCAAGAGTAAGGCCTGGAGTAGAGTAAGTGCTCAATAAATGTCAGCTGCTGATATGAACTTTAAAATGTCCTGTGATCCTTGTTTATGTATTAGTTTTTGTTGGCGTCTAGTTGCCTTGCAATGCTGTGTCAGTTTCTGCTGCAGAACAAAGTGAATCCGCTTTATGTTTACTTTTAGCCCCTCTTTTTGGGCTTTCCTTCCCATTTAGTTCACCGCAGAGCATTGAGTAGAGTTCCCTGAGCCATACAGTAGCTATAGTTATCTATTTTATACATGGTATCAATAGTGTATATGTCAATTCCAATCTCCCAATTCATCCCATCTTCCTATTCCCACCTTGGTGTCCATATGCTTTTTTCTATACTTCTGTGTCTCTATTTCTTATTTTCAAATAAGATCATCTAAACCATTTTATACCATTTTCATATGTGTGTGTGTGTGTGTGTGTGTGTGTATGTGTGTGTGTTAGTATGTGATATTTGTTTTTCTGATTCACTTCACTCTGTATGACAACCTCTTGGTTTCTGTAAATGTCACAATTTTGTTCCTTTTTGTGACTGAGTATAAAATATCCCAGAAAACTAAGATCATGGCGTCTGGTCCCATCATTTCATGGCAAATAGATGAGGAAGCAATGGAAACAGTGACAGACTTTATTTTGGGGGGCTCCAAAATCACTGCAGATGGTGACTGCAGCCATGAAATTAAAAGACGCTTGCTGCTTGGAAGAAAAGTTATGACCAACTTAGCATATTAAAAAGCAGTGACATTACTTTGCCAACAAAGGTCCATCTAGTCAAAGCTATGGTTCTTCCAGTAGTTATGTATGGATGTGAGAGTTGGGCCATAAAGAAAGCTGAGTGCCGAAGAATCGATTTTTTTGATCATGCTTTTGAACTGGGTGTTGGAGAAGACTTTTGAGAGTCCCTTGGACAGCAAGGAGATCAAATCAGTCTATCCTAAAGGAAATCAATCCTGAATGTTCGTTGGAAGGACTGATGCTGAAGCTGAAACACCAATACTTTGGCCACCTGATGCAAAGAACTGACTCATTGGAAAAAGACCCTGATGCTGGGAAAGATTGAAGGCGGAAGGAGAAGGGGACGACAGAGGATGAGATGGTTGGATGGTATCACCAACTTGATGGACATAAGTTTGAATAAGCTCTGGGAGTTGGTGATGGAACAGGGAAGCCTAGCATGCTACAGTCCATGGGGTCACAAGAGTCGGACATGACTGAGTGATTGAAATATGAACTGAACTGATGATCCTTTAAAAATGAGATTCAGATAATGTCCCTCCCCTGCTCAAAACTGTCTCTTGCCTCTCCACCTCCCTCAGAGTCAGAGCCAAACCCTTACCTTGGCTTTCAGGGTCTGATCTGGCCTCGTTCTCTTTCCAGCTCCATTCCCTAAGCCCGCTCGCCGCCTGACATCCCCCCGGTCCTGCCACACCGGGCTCCTCCCTGGTTCTGACATGCCAGGCTTGCTTCTGCCTCGGACCATAGCCTCTGCCCCTCCCCGTTCCTAGCACACTCTCCCCTCAGCTCCTGCCCTTACGTCGTCCTGGTTTCCAGGGTGACTGCCTCAGAGAAGCTTCTGGAAAGAGACGCACAGTGGCACCTCTGACTTCTCAGCCCCGCCTGGCTGGGCCTCTCTCTGTGGAGTTGCGTATCTGTTACCCATGTGTGTGCACACTCCCTCACTCTCCTCACTGGACTCCCAGCTCCTCGAGGATGGGGCTGGGGCCCGTCTCCCTCACACTGTGTCCCCCACACCTCACACGGTGCTGGGTGGGCTAAGCGCGGGCCCTGAAGCAATGGTTCTTGGGATGAAGGAGCGTTTTTGATGATGACTGTCTTCCCCCGTCCTCCCCTGGAGGTCTCTCTTGGTTTAGGACAGGAGGTAACGGGTGGCCCCCTCTGGGAGAGTCTCGGAGGAGGAGGAGAGAGCATCGGGCAAGGCCGGCCACTGGGGGGTGTGGCATTCCCAGGAAATGGCCTCTGCCCGCTCTCTCAGGCCCAGGCCTCTCTGCGGTTGCCCGGTGGGTCTGAGGCTGGGGCCGGCCAGGCCCTGAGCAGACTCACTGCCCCGAGGTGCGCCAGGCTCCCATCGCAGCGGGGCCTTCCCGGCTTGGCACGCCTGTGGAGAGGGACACAGCTGACATCCTGGACACCTGAGGTAGGACAGCTGACGTCCTGGGGTAGAGTGTGGCCTCCCCCGGTTGGGGCAGTTCTGGGGGAGCCAATGCTGACCCTTTGCAGGAATTCCCTTACAGCTAACAGACAGAAAGGGCTTCCTGGGAGCTGACCCCCTGATCCAGGATACACTGAAAACCCTGAACGTCGGGGGCTCCCGTGATGCTCACCTCTGCCCTGCTGTGTTCTCCAAAGCCTCCCTCATGCAGGAGTGAGGCAGGGTGAGGAACTCCCATGACCAGATCCTCGGGATATACTTCTCTTATCTTCATTTGTCTCAACCTCAGTTTTCTCCTCTGAGGAATGGGCAGAAATAGGCCTGCGCTGTCTGTGTGGCGGGCAGGAGGGTCAGGGTAAGTGAGGTGTGAAAAGGCTTCTTGCACGGTGTCAGGGGTGGGAAAGGGCCCACTCTCCTGGATGCTCTGACCGTGCCCTGTACTCTATCCCTGTAGGAAGGGGAGGGAGGTGGCATCTCCCAAGCACAGGGCCCCAGGGGCTGCAGCAGATGCTCTCGTATGGCAGCAGGGATGGGCTTACCTGGCACCAGCCTGTTCATGCTGCTGGAAGAGGCCCCGAGGGGGCCGAGGCGGGGTCGGTGGGCAGATCTTTGGAGATGCAGTGGCCTGAAGTGATTCGCTGTGGCAGGCTGTTGACAGTGCAACTTCCAGAGTTGTTCACGGTCAGAGGGAGATGCCCCAGGCGCCTGCCTCTGAGTGAACAAAGGAGAGGTGGCAGGTGGCATCTGTCCCTGTAGAGAGCCGGGGCTGCCTCTGTCCTCGTGGCTCCAGAGCTGCTTGCTCGAGGGCCATGAGTCCAAGCCATGGTGCCCATTGCTGACAACTCCAAGGTCATTTGGATTCAGATTCTGCCACGACAGGGCTTCCCTGGTGGCTCAGATGGTAAAGAATCTGCCTGCAATGTGGGAAACCTGGTTTTGAGCCCTGGGTGGGGAAGATCCCCTGGAGAAGGGAATGGCAACCCTTTCCAATATTCTTTCCTGGAGAATTCCATGGACAGAGGAGCCTGGTGGGCTACAGTCCACGGGGTTGCAAAGAATGAGACTGAATGGCCCACGACTCAGTGACTAATACTTCTGCTATGACAAACCCAGAACCCTTGATCAAATAGAAAACACAAAGTCAGTTTTTGCAAAGGGTGTAAAGTCTGTGTCCTGATTCATTTTTTTTTTTTTTTACCGAACAAACGTGATTGTTTGATTGTTCTAGGGCTTTTTTGGGGTGGGGAGGGGGCATGCTGTGTGGCATGTGGGATTTTAGTTCCCTGACCAGGGATTGGTTCTGCCTGCATCGGAAGCACAGCATCTTAACCACTGAACTGCCAGGGAAGTCCTAGGACCATTTTCTCCATTTTATTGCCTTTCCTCCTGTCAGTGATTATATTTGTGTGGACCTATTTTTGTGTTATCGATTCTGTTCCATTGATCTATTTGTCTGTACTTTCATCAACATCACACTGACTTGACTGCATGCATGCATATTCAGTGGCTTCAGTCCTGTCTGACTATTTGTGACCCTATGGGCTGTAGCCTGACAGTCTCCTCTGTCCATGGGATTTTCCTGGCGATAATGCTGCAGGGGGTTGCCATGCCATCCTCCAGGGGATCTTCTTGGGTCTCCTGCATTGCAGGTGGATTCTTCACTGCTAAACCACTGGGGAAGCCCACTCTCTTGATTACTGTAGCTTTATGGTAAGTCTTGAAGTTGAGTTGTTCAGTCTTCCAATTTTGTTCTTCTTCAGTATTGTGTTGACTACTTTGGGTTTTTTTGCCTCTTCATATAGGCTCTAGAATCAGTTTGTCAATATCCATAAAATAATTGGTTGCAATTTTGATCGAAATTACATTGAATCTATACATCAATTTGGGAACAACTGACATGTTGACAATAGTGAGTCTTCCTATCTGTGAATATGAAATATAGCTCCATTTAGTTCTTTTTTTTATTCCTTTCATCAGAGTGTTTTAGTTTTCCTTGTATAGATTTTGTATGTATTTTTAAAAATATTTATATGTATGTAGTTCATTGGGGGAAATGCTAATATAAATGGTCTCATGTTTTTAATTTCAGATTCTACTTGTTCTTTACTAGTGTATAGGAAAAGGATTGACTTTTGTATATTGACCTTGCTTCCTGCAACCTTGCTATAATCATTTATTAGTTCCAGCTTTTTTTTATCAGTCCTTTTAGATTTTCTACTCAGATGATCATGTAATCTGTAAATAGAGACAGTTTCTT